CACACACACACACACACACACACACACACACACACACACACACACACTTACATGCCATGGTATATACACAGGGATACACACAAATAATACAATTTAAAATATGTAAAGTACATGTTAATGCTAATAACAAGAACCAACATAAAAGAGGAAGAAAAAAAATCTGCATACAAAAAAATGAATCAAGGTGAACACTGTTTACCTTTGGAGACGAATCTGGTATCCAGTACTATTACCATTGCCGCAAGTCTCTGCCCTTTCTGCGGCCACTCTTTCAGCAACCTTTAATTTAAAGAAAACACAAATTCCTTTAGACAAATGTATGTAACTGTCATGAAAATCCAGGGCTGTTGAAGAGTAGCTGACTTTCAGATGAGTTTAGAAACTAGAGATACTTTACTGAAGTTTGAGATACCTAAAACCATGTGTTTTCTTTGAGAAAGATACACTATCAGCTTCTTTCATTTCCCATTTATCTTTATAAAGATCTTCAAGTCTAAATTCTTTCAATCTCATCACTGACTTTTTGACTTTTCTACAAAAGTTGGAGACCACAGTCCAAGCTTAAAAATTGTAATTTGAAATTAAGTGCATATTAACAATTTCTCATTTACTCTTCTATTCACTGTTCTTTTATTTGTAGTAGAGAGTAGTATTTAACTCCTAGTCTTTGGTTGTTTTTTTTTTTTTTTTTTATACATTTTGGCTATCAAATACAAAATGGAAAATGAAATTTAATAATAATCATTGCTGATTTCTATCACTACCTGCAATTCTGGACTAACATTATCTATGCTAAACCACTCAGGCAAAAAGAGATGTCTGAAACAATATCTTATTCATCCTCCTAAGCTTCCTCTGAGGAGCTTCACTCAAAACTCAATGTCTACAAAAATACAGCATGAAATGCCGGAATAAGGATTCCCACTTTCACTATTCATGTACTTAGAAACTGAAGGAACATCCACTGAAAGAACAGAGTACACTAGTGGCAGAGGCTAAAGAATTCCCTGGAGAAGATGGTTTTCAGTATATTTATCAATTCCATAACCAGTTGTTGGCTTTTCAGTTTTTAGATCTTTACTGGAAATAATTAATCTTGAGTTTGCGAGCATCCACTATTGATGAAAGTGACACTCCCCATAATATGTAAATATTATCAAATATTTGCCAATTAAGTATTTGCTGTCATAGGGACAAATCCTGAGTCTAATAAAGAATCATTGCAAACTTTAAAAACCGGCTCCTTAGATAGAGAAAGGGACTTTTCACAAGTGAGAGCTTACTTACTGAAATGGCACTAATTCTTCTTGGCTGAGTACACACGATTCTGCAGGCAGACCCTTTTCCTCTTTCAATGTAGTTATCCAAGATGAACTGTGTAACCTGAGTGGTTTTGCCACAGCCAGTTTCACCACTTATTACTGTTACCTGATGGTTATTGATTAAATTTACCAGCTCCTAGTTCAAAAGTGAAAATGAGTGAAGTACAGCACAAGACTTTCAAGTCTGAAAAGTATTTAAAATTCTATCCAATTGAAGGTAAATAAAGACAAATGGTAAATAGATATCTGAACAAATCTAAGAGAACATAACTTCTTAAAAATTTTAGATACACATTCTTCATACTAAAAATTCACAAAACCATCACCCAACTTCAAGAACGCTATATATTTTAATATAAAAATTACATTTAAATTATCCCTATCTAGTCTAACAATGAGAACAAGTTTCAAGTTTAAACACTAACACAGCTGGTAAACATTTGTTCTTCAAGACTTATGGCTTCTCCAACTGTAAAACTAAAGCACAGATGAAAAGCTTTTGATGAAGTAATTATACCTATATTGGACCTGCTATAATTCCCTAAACAACACAGTACATAATTATATAACATTTACATACACTAAAGGTATTAAATTATTTAGTGATGATTTAAACTATACAGAAGAAGGCATTTAGCTTTATAGAAAAACATGACACCATTTTATATAAAGTACTTGAACACCTGAGGGGTGTGGTACTCAAAAATCTTAAAAGCAATACCCACAGATACTGAGGGATGATGCTTAGAAATGGAATGTAACTCATTCATTCAACAGTTTCTGGCTGTCAATGTAATGACAGCTGCTTTCCAAGCTAAAAGGTACAGAATAAACAAAACAGACTCTGACCTCAGGAACATACACTGGAGTAGAAGAGATGCACACACAGAGATATCAAGTGGTAATACGTATTATGAAAAGCAAAGAAAAAGAAGAAAATGGTAAGGTTGGAAGGAGAGAGCCAGATAACGCCTACGCTACACTTCACAGGGTTGTGTGATGAAATGTGAGCAATCCATTGTAACAACATCATTGGTAGACCCTCAATTTTAACTCAAGTGCTTGATCTTGAGTTAAAACTTAAGAGACACATATGGAAATTCTTTTTTAAAAGTAAGATTTGAAAATATCAGAAAACTGCTTCATAATCCTCCTCCCTTTTACCTTTCAAGAGTTCGAAGTGATTCAGTTAACCTCCCTATGGGAGAAGGTTCATTAACTTTTATTTGTTAATGAAGAGCATCTTTAAAAAAATGTGTTTAACGTTTTGCAAATCAAAACTAGACAGTAGAAAGCACTTTTTTTTACCTTTTGCATTCCATATGAAGGCAGCTTTTTTCTGAAACGCTGAAATTAAACACAAAAATCATTTTCAGAATAGATATTAAATTATAATCAAAATATATCATAGGTAAATGTAGTAGACCAAGTGTGCTTTCATTATTTCACAGCGCATGTGAAATGTCATGACTTGAATAGAATAACTGGACACTTACTAGAAGTGTGTACTTCTGGGTTAGAAGTAAACTGAGAAACTGCGACACATTACACAGTAATACAGCAACAACCTCTAAACTCCTTCTCACTTTATTCTATTTTTATTTTATACAGTCATCACAGATTCAGTTTCTACATCATTCTCTTCCCTACTTATTCATGTACCAGTTACTAATGCAGTAGGCACTGTAACAGTGATTATTTTAAGGCAAGTGCCTTTAACTGAAAGAAAAAAAATTAGTATTTCATTTCAGAACTGTAATTTTCATTAATTTCTGGGTAACAACACGTCATGGGCTTTAAAATTTCATAGGGTTGCCACAGATCCTATTGATAAATCTGTATACATGAAGGTAACAGTTTTTGTCACAAGGTTTCTTGACAAATTTACAACTTGGTTAAGAATAGAATACCAGAAAGAGAAAATTTTTTGATTGATGTAACAACTTCTTGTGAATTTTTAAAATTATTCTGAAACCCTATATCCATACTAAGAAATATCAGAATTTACATTAGATACACCCTGTAATATGAAAAAAAACTTCAGCAGCATAGATACAAGTTTTAACATCCTTATTGAAAAACAAAAATAACCTTTAATTTAAAAACTAATATGAAACAAAATTAAAATGGAAACTGCTCTACGTAAGCCAAAACATTATTACCACACTTATGGTAAGGTTCTTTCAGTACAATAAGTAAGACAGTCAATGTGATGAGTTTAAGTGAGTTATAGGGTTACAAGTAATAAAAGCCACTACGTATTTCATAAAAATCTCTTTTATACCTTTTAAATTATCTTATCATTTTATTATTACTAAAATAACATATTATATATAATGTATAATATATAAAATAACACATAATTTAATATATAACGGTAAAATAAATTAATGTAACTATATAACACAATAATATAATAAAGTATAACATATATAATTTATTGATAATTATAAGAGATACCAAGATATTATAAAATATAAATTTATTTATATTTTAATTATTTCAAAAACTACTAATATACAGTATCATAAAATGCAGTCATCTTCATGTAAAAACTATTACATTGCCTTTCAAATTATAATGAAATGTCTGTGAATGAGGTTCAGGTTCAGAGACCCTGAATCAGAAATTAAGGTAGAAGATTCCCAACATCCAAAATCAAAACCTGTCCGTGCGCGCGCGCACACACACACACACAGTGTATTACCACGAAGGACTACACTGTTTTTTAAGGTGAGGTCTGAAAGATGGCCCAGCTATTAAGAAGCTTCCTGCTCTTACAAAGGACCTGCCCCCAATTCAATTTTGAACACCCAGGTTGTTGACCACCTACTACCCATCAGCTGTCACTCTCGCTTTCGAGAATGCAATGCCCTCTTTGATCCTCCATGGCACCTGCACTCACAAGCACATCAACCACAGCTTCCCCACCCCACTGATGCTGCCACACACCCTCCTTCTCTTTAAAATGAGAACGTAATGAATTTTCAGAACGTTTTTAGAGGTGAAGACATAACTTCAACACTGATAAAGTGCTTGGTGAGGTATGGTAGTATTAGGGAAGCACACACGCAGATCAGCAGGGCTTGCTGGCCAGCCAACCCAGCTTACAAAACGAGCTTCCTGAGAGCGGGAGACCCTTTCTCAAAAAGGCCAAAGTAGCGCTAGACATGGGAGCACATGCCTTTAATCTGAGCACTGGAAAGACAGAAACAGGCAGTTTCTGACAGAAATAGTGAGTTCAAGGTCAGGCAGAGCTAGAGACTGTCTCAAAAAACAAACAGAGCACCCAGGGTGGGTGATTACGGACCAACACCTATGGCCTCCCCATGCACGTACCTATAGTCACTAACAAAAAAGCTGGATTTAACATATAGCTAAATTTTAGTAGAAATAAAACATTTATCAGTGCCTGGGAAAAGAGAAGATTAATTTCTTTAAATACTAGATCAGCCACCCATTTCAATGTTGTGCCTTATATAAAGCAAAGAGAGACAGGAATCAATTCTTTGTTTGTAATGTAAAAGTTCTCTCAGCCAAAACATTCTGAATTAATTCACCTTATAAGGCTCACTAGTGTCCAAATCATATTGCTTCTCATGGCCACCAAACAACTACACAATTTGGACCCTGGACAACCTCAGCTAATCTACTCTAATAGGAAATTGAACCTTAATTAGTATGGCCAATGGGTTAGTCCTTTCTTTCCCAGATTTGACAGTGTGCCTTCTCAAAAGCAACAATATGTATTTACAAGACATGGCCCCAGAACACTCCTGATAGTTCTGTAAGTATGTATGTGTGCACATTTGAAGATTCTATCACATCTACACCTAGAACACACAGAAATCATATGAATTTACATTTTAACTGGAGGGCTCTTTAAGCAGCTTATCTGACCAAAAAGATAATACTTCAGTCCTCGAGGAGATGATACACTGAAATGTAGGTAAACATAAAATGTATCCTCTAGCTTTCGAAATGTTTGAATGTCATCATCCATAAAAGGAAGGAGTCCAGAGCTGGAAGAAACTTCACAATTCTGACTATTTAACTGTCTGGACTCAGGGTTTCTCACTAAACTGGCCTAGAAAACTGTGTTGCCATGGCATTGGCATTCTCAAACATTTCTTCTCACAACATAAGCATCTGTCAATAATGTACAGCACTATAGGCTGTATGGGATCTCCACCCTGCTTTTCTCTACCACCACAGAAAGCCTTCCCACAGAAGTGGCTTGCTGTAGATCGCTCACACACACTGAGCAGTTAACAAACAAGGAAGACTGACTTTCTTCCCTTACCTGCATCTCTATATACCGAGGATCAGCTTTTTTCTTTTGTAAATCTTCCAATAAATGTTGGTCTAAGCCTACATTGGGCTCATTTTCTTGCAACAAATACTCAGAATCTCGGTCAATGTATGGTTTGTCTGTGATCCTAAATGTCTTTTTTTCTTGTTTTAGAGATTTTTTTTCCTGGCTGTCAAATTTCTTCTCTGAGTTTATTTTTTTCTCTGAAGAAACTTCAGTACCATACCTATAATCACAGAATAGAGAGAATAAAGATCAGATGAATACTTCCTTCAGGGCCTAGAACAAAACAGAGCATGCTATCTCTAAATACTTTAAAATCTCCAACACTGAAAGCACTACAATGCAGTCATGAAATATGCTTCAATTCCTGCAATACACACCTTTTCCTCCTTTTAAATGGAAATTACCAGATAATTTATCCTGAGTTATTTAAAGAAATTTGCTTGGATTCCTTTAATACAAACTTTTCTGTCCTTTTAATTGGGCATTATCAGATAATTTATTCTCTGAGATATTCAAGGAATTAAAATCCACACACTAGTCATTCATCTTTTGTAGCCATTTCTACTCTTTTTCTGACTTTCAAGGATTTGGTTTATTTTACAACTTCTTTTTCTGCGTACTGCTCTTTTGTGAGATGTAAAGGGTAAGCTGCATTAAAGGCCTTAAAATACTTCTAATTCTTCTATAAATACTATGGTCTTGACAATCTTTTGCACAGCAGCAATTTAACTTATGCAGACACAAAGAAGGATTTTGGAAGGAAAAGAAGGCAGGGAGGGAGTACACGTAACAGTCGCACATGGAATGCCCACCCCTGACTCTAGGGAATACGCCATCTAGAACTTTTCTCTATTAAAGCCAGGTGTGGTGGTGCACAGCGCTCTCGAGAAAGAAAGAGGCAGTCTCTGAGTTTGAGGTCTCCCTGCAATACAGACTGAGTTTCAGAACAGCCAAAACTACATACACAGAGAAATCCTGTCTCAAAAAATATTTTTTTTTCTTTCTTCAAATCTACTTGCTCCATACTGAAAAGGATTCCTGAAGACTAAATACAACATACTGAAGAGACTAAGGATGATACATTTCTTTTTTGTTTTCTTGTTTACTCTTTGCTATTCCTTTTGAGAACTTTTCTTTTTTTACCCATGATCCTCAGGTGCAAACCAGGATATCTGTGCTTCTGAATCTTTATCATTCTTAGTTTGGACTGAATTCAGCAGCTGCACAATTTGCTCCTCTCGTCGCTCATCCATGTGTACTACAGCTCTCTATTTTGCAAAAAAGAAAACACCTATCTGTTAATACAAACATGCGTAAAATCACTTTACATCTAAATGAAAAAATAAAGTCAAAGTAGAGATCTCTAACAGATTTCTGTTAATAATTAATACAAGGAGGAAATCTCATCATTGTTTTACTTGACTTAAAAAGTCCTCTTTTGACCTTAATCATCACATGGACATAAAAGCACAGCATCTGCCTGAGTCCTACTTAAGTAATATTTAATTCCTAAGGTTTCTTTACTCTCTTTTTAAACAAGGGGTCACCTAAGACCATTGGAAAACACGGATGTTTACATTCCTATACATTCCACACATTCATACAGTCATGAAATAGCAATGAAAAAATTTTATGGTTGGGGTCACCACAACATGAGCTGTATTAACGGGATGCAGCATTAGGAAGGCTGAGAACCACTGTGCTAGGTTATCAGACCCATCCTGAAATGCTCACTTGTATGCCCAATATCGATCCTCAAGCTCTCTCTATCTTTTAAAATCCTTTCATTTGAATACACAGTCCATGTTATACATACAGTAACATACTATTCTACGGCCCCTAGCACACATCACCTCTATAAATTATGTATTATAATACCCATCTCATAAAAATTAAGTTTTCCACACATATCTGTTGAAAGAACAATGAGGATCCACTGGAGTACTTTTATTTCGTAAGCACACACACACATAATTTTTTTAATGTAAAAGTTATGAAAATTCTGAGATACAATCACATCAAGCTGAAAGTGCTGAAAGGAAGAATACCAACTGAAAAATATATTTGAAGAGAATTCAATGACTCATTTTAGATAGCAGAATGATTTTATACTTAATAAAGAGCAGAAATAAAATACGTTGATGAAGACTATGTTTATACCGGACTCAGAGCTTGAGCTCAGAAAGGCCAAGTCAAGGAGGGAAACCTGCTGTTACAGCCAGATTACCATGATTCTCAGAAAACAAGAAGAAACACAAGCGGCACGGCTTCAATGACTAATGTGGGAAGTAAAGAGTGAAATGATCCAAACGTCTCTTTTTTGTTTGCTTGTTCGTTTGGTTGGTTGGGGTTTTTCGAGACAGGGTTTCTCTCTGTAGCCTTGTCCTGGACTCACTTTGTGGATCAGACTCACAGAGATCCACTTGCCTCTGCCTCCCAGAGTGCTGGGATTACAGGTGTGCCACCATGCCCAGGTATCTAAAGAACTCTTTAGGAGATCACCTTGGAAGGGAGGGGTGCTCTATAATTCAAAGAATAGTTTAGAGTCTATGAAAAGAAAAAAATACTGGTCTGAGTCATAACTGCTGTAGAGATAAACAAGAAAACAGAGCAAACTGATTTGCCAAAATGAAAGGGAAAAGTCAATGCTCAATTCCACTTGGCAAGTAAATAAATGGCACTGACGTCTGCTGAAATGGAAGTTTGGGGACGTGGTCGGGATCAAGCATTCTGCTAATAAAAGCTCAGTCTGGAGGTGCACACACGAAATCCCAGCACTTGGGAGAAAGGAAAGAGGACCAGGAGCCCAACATCAGCCTGCAGTTAACATCCAGTGTACACGTTAACTGCAGCTTTGGATACATGGGAAAATAGCATCCACTTAGATAACATACTTGTTTAAGTATTTCTTTCCTCCATTAGAATGCAAAGATCTTCAGCTCCCCATAGCAGCATTCAAAACCATGTATGAAAAAGGGTCAAAAAAACTTTATTTTTCAAAATGAATGAAATAAAGTATTGAGATATTTTAAAAAGTTCCAAACAAGCTTCTATAAAAAAAAAAAAATTAAAAAAAAAGAGGTGATTAAGGGGAAAATGAATAAAATGGCTTCAAAACAGTCGCCCAACAGATGTTTTTCGTACCTAATAAAAAGGCACTTTCCGTTAAGTCACTAAAGAGCCATCCCAAAAGCTTCTATGCAACAATTTATTTTTCATTACAACAGGCCACTCAAAAAACAAGATGCGTCCTATACTACAGATACAAACCAAACTTGCTGTCCCCTGATGACATCAGTCAAATTCTTTCTTTCAAGGGCGCCAAGTTTCTGTCTTAAAGAGAAGCAGCAGTAGCTCCTCTTAAAAGAAAATTCAGATACAGAAAAAGGGGGTGGGGGAGACGAGCATGTGACTCCCTTTAATGCTAATAATTACTATTAGGTAAACTTTTTCTCAAAGATCTACATTTTAAGACAGTGCTTTGCTGCTTTTGTTGGCTGCTCCAGGCAAAGAACTTTAAAGTGATGGTAAGTATTCTAACGGAAATGATCATATCCCTAATCAAGTCTGCTTCAGCTGGAATCTGAATTTATCACTCACGACCAGCTCTCAGGTCCTTAAAACGGAGTATGCACGGGGCTGCAGTGGTGATGGCTTGGGGTAGAAGGCGCAGCCCGTCGGGCAACCCGACACCCATTGCAAGGGGCTCAGCAGCGGCTGCACCTAGCTCGGGCAACAGCCCATGCAGGGTGAGGGTCGACGGGAGCAGCGGGCAAACGCACCCTGCCATGACCTCCATACCTCCTGCCTCTCGGCCTCCTTGTTCTTCTGCGTCTGCTTCTTGGCGTACCACAGGCCGATCTCGCGACCCTTCAGGTGTCCGGGATGCCGTCCCCGGCCCCCGCGGCCCCCGCCGCCGCCGCCCGAGCCGCGACTCCCGCCGCCGCCCGAGCCCTGGCCGGAGCCCCGGCCGGAGCCCCGCGGCCCCGCATCGCGGCCCCAGCTCTGATGGCAGTCGTAGTTCATTGTCCCGACCGACAGCGATCCCCAGCAAAACTCAACCGCTGAAAATGGCGTTCGGGCCCGGAAGCGGGCGCACAGTAGCCTCCGCTTTGCTTCCGGCGCCCAGCGCGAGAGGGCGGGCCGTTGAGTGTCACAAGAAGACATTTCCGGTGACGTCAGTGATGAGGGCAGAAGACGGGAGAGAGAGTCCACGGTCAAGTTTTGAGTGCGCGTGGCTGCTTTGATGCAGTGTGGGCGGACGGGGGACGGTGGGGTTTTTAAACTAGCCTGAGAAAGTGAAAATTTCGGTGAATTTCCATTCGTTTGGTAAAATTTAAGGTTTGTTTTCAAAGCCATAGATAGTAAATGCATATCCAGCAAAACCATGCCACATTGTATACTTTTCCCAAAACCCAGAGGTTCCTATCTGTCTTAGAAACAGCCTGGCACCTCTTTCAGTCATGTAAGTATACACACACATCTGATTTCTTTAAAGAGTCTTAATTACTGGAAATGGGGTGTCAGCTCAGCTGATAAAGAGTGCTTGCCTGGCCTGATTTCAATCCCAGAGTCTAAATGTGTCGTTCTGCAGGCCTGTAATCAGGAGATGTGTCATCCTTGGCCTCACAATAAGCTTGAGGCCAGCCTAGGATACCTGTGTCTAATAATAGCAATAATTACTGCCTGTATTTATTACCTTATCTAAGAGCATAAAATAAACATATGAGTCAGGCATGGTAGTGAACACCTTTAATGCCAGCATTCAGGGAGGGAGCCAGAGGCAGGAGGATTTCCGTGAGTTCGAGGCCAGCCTGGTCTATAAAGTGAGTACAGGACAGCCAGAGCTACACAGAGAAACCAAAAATAAATAAATAAAATAAAGTAAACATGATCTTGAATTCAAGGCAGAGAGCACTTGAGGAATGTAAATCACAGTTGAAGATTCACAAACTGAAGTCTTATGATGCTTATTAACAAGACTAGTCAATGCCTTGAGCCACTTATCACAAAAAAATAAAATGACTGAAACAGTTGGTCTTAATTTTCACCAAAACGTTTCCTAATTTGTTCAAACATCTGATTTAAAGGTGATAAGAGATACTTGGTCAACAACAAAAGCAAAAGCCACAAAATGGCAGATATATATGACTTTTTAATTGCTTGGGTTTGTTTGTTGGTTGGTTTTTTGTTTTGTTTTGTTTTTGGCTTTTAGAGACAGGGTTTGTCCAGGTAACAAGCCCTGGCTGGCCTGGATGTGCTTTGTGAAACAGCATGGCCCTCGCAGAGGTCTGCCTGCTTTTACCTCCTGAGTGCTGGGATTAATCATTTTTTTTTCCACCTGCATTCACCGTAGGACAGGTACTAGAACACTTTTTTTAAAAAAATTTTTATTAATTACACTTTATTCATTTTGTATCCCCCCATAAGCCCCTCCCTCCTCCCCTCCCGATCCCACCCTCCCCCCCCTTTCTGCATGCATGCCCCTCCCCAAGTCCACTGATAGGGGAGGTTCTCCTCTTCTTTCTGATCTTAGTCTATCAGTTCTCATCAAAAGTGGCTGCATTGTCCTCTACCGTGGCCTGGTAAGGCTGCTTCCCCCTCAGGAGGAGGTGATCAACGAGCAGGCCAATCAGATTATGTCAGAGGCAGTCCTTCTTCCCATTACTATGGATTAACCATTTTTTAATGAAACCTTTTAAATAAACGTTATATATGCATTTACATGTATATATGTTTGTGTATATATATATGTAAAATATATACATATATATATTACATAATGAACTTAGAAAAAGAAATGCTATAAGGCCAGGAAGTAATCCAGAATAATCCACTATGACCTAAGAGTTTTTTGCGTGAATGCATTTGAGCTTCTGAAATCTTTTATTATGCAAAGGTATTATAAAATCTTTTATTCTGTAAATATTATGAAATATTTTATTATGTAAATAAAATAAATCTTCTATTATGTATAATACTATTATTATTATATTAGGGCCAAGAATCTGGTCCTAATCTTCTTCTAGAAGAGTCAGGGAAGACCGATTCATCACTGGATAGCAGAAGTCAATACTACGCCTTCACAGACTATCTCAGAACTTCCATGTCTCCTGTCTATTGTAAAGAAGCCTTTACCATCTCCATCTTCTCCATATATGTCATCCTTCTTCTCATTTACCTTAAGGTAGCACACACCCTTTCTTCTGTTTTCACCCGAGGTCAATTGTCGTCCCAAACTGTTAAATAGAGTATTCCAGATAGTGATTTTATGTTTTAAATTGTGCACTATTCTACTTAGTGGAATGAGATTGCACGCTTGGCCCTCTGTGTCCCGAGAGGCACCTGAGTTACCTCTTCACTGTATTTATACCCTGTAGGCCCCAGCTTTCTAACCTGAAGTTTGGAAGCCTATGTGAGGCCAAGTAACTGAATGTCAGTGCTATGAAATTTTTGGCAACAAAGAAAGTTTTGTGAACATGCAACATCTCAAAATTAATTCAAAATCAAGCGTGTGAACTGAGGAGTTTTTGTTATGCCAGCCCATGTTTTATTAGCCAGCTTCGCTGCGGTTTTGATTTGGAGTGTATGCATGCACGCACTCTGATGTGCACAGAGTCACTCTGCAGGCCTGGCAAACATTATGGGAAACACCTGGGCTAGGATTTGAGACTATTTTATGCTGTGAATTGTAGTGTTCTCAAAATACATGAAAGTACACTGTTGCTATACAAAAAATAATGGTCTAGTTATGGAAAACCAACACTTGTTATTTTCATTTCTCAGTATTTGGTGCCACATTAGTATATCTTTGGACTGTAATCTGTTAGAATATTTAATTTTTAAAATTTCTGCTTGAATTGCTTAAGAAAATTAAATGAATTTGTCTTGGGATCGGGCAGAATTTCCAACAATTCTGGAAATAACTCTAAATAAGTGTGCTTTTTGGTACTGTGTATTTATGTGAAATGTTTATAAAGTCAAAGTATTCATTACTCTGGGAAACATTGAAAATGCTGTATGTCCTGCAGGGAAGATTATTTAATTATTTATGAGGAAATAAACTAGCATTTTTTTTAACTTTGAATGACACTTTATTCAGTCATTGTCTTTACAAGTGAAACTCTAGGAATTCAGAATTAACAGCCTTGCCCATGAAGTTCTTATACACAGCAGGGAAAGTTTCAACCCTGTGCTCCACGTTGCCCTGCTGTGCTTTGTCTAAGTGAACCTTTATGAGCCGGCTGCCGTTCAGTTCACAAGATCCTCTTACCCACAATTTCACTTGGGAAGACGGAGTCTTCACGGATGGCGTGCACTGCCGTCAGGGTGCGGCTTCTGGGGCGCTTCTGCTTATTTTTCCTGAGGCTTTTTCGGGTTGGGCTTGGGCAGAACCCTCTGAGCAACGAAGAACACGTGCTACCCGCTGAACTTCTCCAGCTCACCAACTAGCCAGACTTGGATTTTCTGGAAAGATTTCAGCGGAGGAACTGGTGCAGAAATCAGGATAGCTTCCCGACCACCACCAACTTCACTTTCCTTGGCCTCAGTGATCTGAGCTCCTGTAGCTGCGCCTTGAGATCAGAGTTCGTCTGCAAATCCTGCAGCGCCTGAGAAATGGCAGACTGGGACTTGTCTGGCTTCGAGCCACTCAGCTTCACTATCTTGGCCCTCGAGCTGAACATGGCTTCCTCCTTACAGAGTGTTGGCTTAGAAAGAGCCACGTCTTTCTTATTAGTATACGTATTTGCTTTTGTCTTTAATAAATGACAAAAGTATATATGTATTGCAAAGAATTGGTTGCTTTGTCTTGTTTTCTTGAGACAATTTTTCATATAATCCAGACTCATCTGGAACTTGCCACAACCACTCCCAAATCAAGGGATTATTTTAATAAAAATTTCTTTATTATTTCTTAGTGGTGTTTAATTTGTTTGTATATTTTATATTCCTATATACCCAAAGTCACAAAAATGTTTCATGGGCAGAAAAGGGCTGTGAGTGGAAAAGTTTAAAAAACCATGTTACAGGCATTTTTGTCCTTTACTACTCATTTCTTTTAGTTAATGAGGTCAGATATGGTGACAACTGCATTGTTTGTGTTCAAGTAGCCATTACTCAACTCAATAATGACTCACTCTATAGAAATTTTAATTCAGAACATGGCTGCTCTGGCAAGAGATCATATCCAGAGACCTTCTAGGTCTATGTGATCTGCCTGGAATAGACATGTCTTTAATCCCAGGAGACAGAGGCAAGCAGATGTCTGAGTTCAAGGCCGGCATGGTATAGAGGAAGTTTCAGGTAAATAACAGCTTAGGTCCATATGTGGTGGTACTCAGGAGCAGGGGCATGCAGATCTTTGAGTTCTAGTCAGTTCTGTTCAGGCAGTTTGGTTGAGTCAGTGAGTTTAGGGTCAGTGCAGTGGAGTTGAGATCATGGCATTTCAGTTCATGGAATTCAGAGCCAATTTTACCAGGAGAGTTTTACAGAGATAGGTTGAAAAGAGAACAAGCTAGACACACACAGGTGAAGACAGAATGAGCCAGAGAATGAGAAGGAGCCAGAAGATTAGAACAGATTGCTAACAGAGTTAGTGTGAGGCCAAGCAAAGCAATTCCGTGAGAAACAGAGAAGTCAAATACAACCAGTCAGCTTGGAGAGGAGTTTGAGCCAAAATAGCTGAGTTGAACCAGCCAGCCAGAGTTTAGAAAGAGCTAGAAATTGTGAACTAATTCAGCAGTAAATATCAGAGGCTGAAAGCCTAGATTATATTGTACGGAGGCTTAGAGTTTCCAGGACTAGGCCTAGGTTAGCAGACAGAGGCAATAAGCTCTGGAGACAACAATTACATTAGGCGAATAAAAGATGCATCAACATTTGTGTTCAAACCATAATTATTACCATAAAGTAGTTATGGTAATAATACATATCAAAAGGAAGGCTTAAAGTACTTAATTTAAATGGAAAGCTAAAAGTCCTTGGTTTGATAAGAAAGAAAATTATATGCTAAGATGCATGATAAAAATGAGTCCATCTGTAAAATTGTGAAGAAAGAAAAAAAT